AAAAAAAAAAAAAAAAAAAAATAAAATAAAATAAAATAACGTAACATAAAATAAAGTAACATATTTATATTTATATAAAAAAAAAAAAAAAAAAAAAAATTAATAAATATATATATAAAAAAATATAGCAATACGTTTTCATTTAATATTTTGATAATATAAAGCATATCCACTTTTTTATACAATAAACTTTTTAAGAAAAATAAGATTTGTATTTTTATAATATATATGTAATAAACACATTAAATTTAAATATAACATAAAACAATATAAATTAAAATTATACAAAAAATAATTAAAATTGTAAAAAGTGTTAACATATTTTAGTTACGGTGTAAATATTAAATAAACAATCTAGGCTTATAGTTCTATAATTATGAAAATTTATGAAAAATGAAGAAAAAATTGATTCAAAAAATTTTTTTTAATAAAAATATAAATTTTTCCTACATATCTAGAAGGGGATATTTTAAAACCCTATTACAAAATGATATGAAACACAAATGGAATGGTTTCTGTAAAAATAATTATATAAAAAGTGAACAATTCGTCAATTTCTCTACGGAAAAAAAAAGTGAATTAAATTTCCTCAGTAAAGAGCAAATAGAAGAAAAGGTTATTACTGTCTTAAAAAAATACTTACCTAATGATGCTGAAATTAAATATGAAGAAGAATTAGAAAAAAACAAAACAAAGGATAATAGAGCTTGGGATTTTTTGGATACTGTAGAATTTTTAATAGATGTAATATATATCACTGAAACATATAAAATTTTATTATAAAATTCTTAAAAATATAATATAAAATTTTATTTCAATTATGATTTTTATATTATAAATTTTTGTTTGATTTTTTTTTTTTTTTTTTTTTTTAGATTGAATCTGAATTTAATATTACAATTCCTGATGAAACAGCCGATAATATAAAAACTTTACAAGAATTAATAGATTATTTAGTTCAGTTAAATACCAAGAAACCCTAAATTTATTGTTTTTTATTTTATTTCAAATATTACATTTACATTATAATTTAAAGTAATATTATGAATACAGAAAAACATATTTTTAATTAAGATTTAATGATAGAAAAAATTATTTTTTATTTTTATATATTACTTATTTTGTGTAAATATAAACATTTTATTACTCTTTAATAAATTTGAGTTACTATTTTTCCTAAATAAAAAAGGGAAATGAAAAAAAAAAAAAAAAAAAAAAAAAAAATTCATTTGGACATTTTTATATTATTAAGCAAATATAATATAAAATTCTTTGTAATATTTTATAATTCCTCTGTTGTATTTTAAAGTTTATATTAAATATATTATTTAAAAAAATTATGAAATATTTTTTAAATTTTAATAGGAAAAAATTTTCCGACATTGTTAGATAATAAAACAAATTATTTTATTGAAAAGAATAATAAATTAATCATAAATTTTTTATTTAGAAAAAAAAAAAAAAAAACATATGAATTATTGAAAAAATATTACCACAATTAAAAAAAAAAATTATATATATAAGTCTAAATAAAGTTAATTCTTATGTATATTATTTTGTGTTCTTTGTTAAATTAGTTTATTTTATTATAAAACATTTTACTCCTTTGATTAAAAATTTACAAGAAACATTTATAATGTTGCACACAACTTTTTAGTTGAATATACATATATTTCTTTTTTTTTTTTTTTTTTTTTTGAAATAAGCATTTAAATAGTTTATTAAGAATTTAATAAAATTATAAGGATTTAAAAATACTATAACTTTTGACATTTTATAGTTATTTCTTATCTATAACTAAAGTAATAAAATAAAAAAAAAATTTGTAGATGCATAAAATGAAAATAAATATCATCATAAGAAAATAATAATATGAAAAAGGTAACATAAATATTTTTAAAATTAACAAAAAAAAAAAAATTAGGGATAGAAATTACTTTTGTAGTTCTTAAAATTTTATATCTTCTAGAAATTATTAAAAAGATATTAATGTTCTATAATTTATTATTTTAAAACTATAAGAAATGTCAGATGTGTATAAGTTTAGGAAAATTATGTGTAATTTCTTAAATATATATTCATGGACTATTTTAAAAAAACAAAATGAAGATTTTTAGTTAAAAATGATATACAAGATGATTCAAAAAAGAATATAAAAAAATTTTTCCATCTATAATAAAAAAAATTTATTAAAAGAAAAAGCATTTAATTTTTAAGAAAAAGAAAAAAGGCCAAAAAAAAAAAATATATAAAAATTTTTTTTTTTTTTTTTTTTTTTTTTTCTCAATATGGAACAATTGTAAATATTACACAAACACATTATAAAGTAATAAGGATATAAATGTAATAAACAATATTGTAAAAGCATTTATGAAATTTTTTTTTAAAAAAAAATATATATATATATATTTAATTTTTAAATATTAATTATACCATAGTTATATAATAAATTTTTTTTTTTTTTTTTTTTGGAATATTTAAGTGAATATACTTTTAAACATATTAAAATTTTTGGGGCTTCCTTCTTATCAATGAAGTTACAAAAATAATAATCAATATGATACAATAAAGTAATAAAATAAAAAAAAAAAAAAATAAAAAAAAACAATACAATAATATAATAAAAATAAAGAACTGTAAAATTTATGAAGATAAAATGAGTGATGAAAAAAATACCAATTATGACAAATTAGAGGTAGGAGATATCCTTTTAAATAATAATAATAAATTACCAAAAAATAAAATGAAAATTTATAATAAGGAATATATAGACAAAGTAAAAAGATTAAAAGAAAAAAAATATTTTGGAAGTAAAACGATAGGGAAGGGTTCTAGTTATGTTTATTTAATTAACCAAATTTTTGGATCGGGAATAGTGTCTATTCCTTATGTCTTTAAAAGTTGTGGATGGTTACCATGTCTAATTATGAATATCTTAATTTGCATTTTAACAACTTTTAATACTTTATTATTTTTACGAACAATGACTATGATACCTAATAATATTCATTTTAATAAAAGATATGAATATATATCAACAGTTTGTTACTTTTTAGGAAAAAATAACATATTTTTTTTATTAATTCAGATTTGTTTTTATGCTAGTATATTGGCAAGTAATATTATTTCTATAGTAATAGTATCACATGCAGTTGATCACATATTAATAAACTTATTCGGTTATACTATTGGTTTTGTTTTTTATCCAAATTTTGGTTTTACATTATTTAACAATATTAATGATTTATATTATACGAAAAATTATATATTATGTATAACTATAGGTTATATAATAAATGCTATTACATCAATATATTTTTCTCAATCTAATTTAGAGGATAATATGAAAATACAATTTTTATCATTTTTTTTTCTAATGAGTACAATATTTCAAATGATTTATCTAAGTATCCTTAAAATATATAGATATAATATAAATAATGTAAATATTAAACCAAAAATTGGAATAAAAAAATATTCTGATATAAAATATCCAAGTGCATTTGGAAATTTTAATTTTAGACAACTATTATCATCTTATATTGCTTCTTATTCAGCTGTAACAGTTATTCCTTGTTGGGCTAACGAAATGAAATCAGATGTAAAAATTATAAAAACTGTATGGTTATCTAATTTTTTTTGTTGTTTCATTTATTATATTTATGGGTTGATTTTATGTACTGCTTATCCTCATATTAATAATGATAATATATTAAATGATATTTTACAAAATCCTCTTATAAATATTTATATGAAAATTTCTATTTATCTGTTTGATCTATTAACCATAGCACCTGGTATATATGTATATTGTATTGCAACAAGATACAATTTAATCAATAGTAATATATGTTCAGAAAAAATAGCGTTTATTTTTGGTACTATTTTTCCTTTTTTAATATCATGGTTTTTTACTTCAAGTTCCTTTTTTGAAAATATATTTACTTGGTCTAGTTTAATTTTTTCTTTTGCATGCAATTTTATTACGCCATCCGTTATATATTTAATAGCTTGTAAAAATATTCCATATTCAGAAAAAAATCCTTTAAAATATATTCATGTTTTATATGATCCCAATGAATATAAAAAAAAAAAGCCTCTCTATAATATTTTATATTCTAACTTTAACGATGAAAAGAGTAATTTTGATTATTCAAATCAAAACTCTATTGATATAAAAAAAGAAATACAAAATGAAAAAAAAATACTTCAGATTCAATCAAAGTATATTATTAATGAAGATAATCAACAAGAGTTGAAGAAGTTTAATGTTAACTCCAGTGATATATATCATACATATTTTTTAAAAAGTAATTCTTTTTTATCAGATGAACATCAAAACACAAAAATATCTGAAGATTCTATTAATAAACATACTAATAATTTTAACGTTAATGAGGGAAAAAATATTAATTTATTTAATGCAGGCCAGGTTAATGGCACAAATACTCTAAGTAATACGGACAAAGTAAATAAACAATTATATTCAAAATCAAACATTAATGATAATGAAAAACGAAATGATTTTTCATATTATTCTCTTCAAAAGAAATATGAAATATCAAACTATAAAAAAAATTCTAATCACAATTATGATGAAGAAAAAATAAATTTTCAAGATAATGGAAAAAATAAAGGTTATCTTTGTGAAAATTTTATTATACCAATAAATAAAGAACTCACAAGTTGTGTTCATAAGGAAGAAAATCCAATAAAGAAAAAAAAAAAAAGTGTTTCTTTAAATGTGGATAATAATTTAATAAAGTCAAATACAGAAGAAAGTGAGTGGAAAAAAGAAATAGGAAAAAAAAAAGAAAAAGTAACAATGCATGAATCTTTTGAAAAATATGATTATTCCAGTAAAGATAATATAGAAAAAAATAAAAAAAATTCGGATCAATATTATAATAGAGAAAAAAAAAAAGAAGATATATTTACATTTCGTAAATATAATTCTTTGTTTAATATCAAGGTAAAAAATTTACCTGATAACTCAATAAAAAAAAATAAATTGCCACATATTATTAGAAAGTCAAGAAAACATAAAACTGTTATGGGTTTTGAAAAGAAAAATAAAAAGAATAAAAGTGTGTCTATAATAAGTGCAAAAGAATCTTCGGAAACTTCTGATTTTAGTGATGACATTTTAAATGACAAAATAATAGCTGATCTATCAAGAGATATATATAATGATATAAGAATAATAAAAAAAAATTATGAAAGAGAGAAATATTTGATAAAATTTTCAGATATCTTTGATTCTTTTGTAAATTTGAAATTGATACTAGAAAATGAATGTAGTGAAAAAAACTCATTAAATTTTTTTTATAATTCAGATGTTAAAGATCAAACTGATTTTTTAAATACTAAAAAAGAGGATCATATAATAAATGACAATTTATTACCTTTTAATAATTTAAATAGATATAGTTTGAATAATGGAAACAAGAAAAAATTATTTTTATCAGATATAATAAATAAAGAAAAAAAAATTGTTGACGAAGATAATTATGAAAATAATATCGAAGAAATACCAAGAAGACAAACAACAGAAAGTGATATAAATGTAGATATTTATGGAAAAAATAAAATTAAGGAGAACGAAGAAAAAAAAGAAGACGTAAATGATAGTAAAATTAATATAAACTCACTAAATTATTTACTTAATAATAATTCTCATATAAATATTAGAGAAGAAAAAATAACAGACTTTAATGATGATATGTATGAAGAAAAATTAAGAAACATCAAAAATGAAATTGACATGATTATAAATGGGATAAATAATAATAAAAATTTTACATGGGCCTTTGATGGAAATAAAAATAGAAATGATTCAAATATAATAATAAATAACAAAAATATAAATGTATCAAATGTAAAATGTTTTCTTCAATCAAATGATTGTATATACCCATCTTATAGAAAATCAAAAAGTGAAAGTCATTTTTCTATATTAAATTTAAATAAAACAAAATTTTATAAAAAAGATAAAAAAAACAGTTTATTTTTTTTAAATAAAATGCAAACTCAACATAATTCTTTATTAAATAATAAAATAAGTGATGATGATGATATTCATAAATATACTCAAACTAAAAGTGCTGATTATTATAGAAAATTTAAATTCCTAACAGAACAAAGTAATGAAATTTTTTTTCCCAGTTATTCTATATCGAAAGATAAAATAGGAGGAAGAAATGAATTAATCAAAGATTCTGAAAAAAGAAGTAAAGAGTGTAATGAAAAAAATGAAAATTATGTTAAAAAGGAAACCAATTCAATTAAGTCAGAAAATTTTGAATTTCATGAAGAAGGTTCTTGTAAAAGTAAAGAAAATATGAATTTTAAAGAAAAACACGATTTAATGAATGAAATAAAAAAAAAAAAACTAAAACAGGAAGACTCTATTGACCTAAATAAAAACAGTATTCAATCAAAGGATAGGTTATTTTACTTTTTAAATTCTTATAATAGAAAAAGTAGGATGTATAAGGATATAAATAGATTGTCTGTTCCCGATAATGTTTATAATGTTATCCCTAAAATTAATAAAATAAATGAAAAAAATAGTTTTGATGATAGTATAAATAATATTTTCAATTATTATAAATATAACTTTTTATTATCATTTAGCGAAAAAAACAAAAAAAAAGGAAATTTAAATATATATAAAAATATTAAAAATGCAAATATATTTTCTAATTATAGAAGTGAAAATAATAACTTAAATGAAAATATAAATTCATTAGAAAAAAAAAAATCAAAAAAATTATTAAATTTTAGCTCCAGATTTCATTATTTAAATAAATATCATAATGATGAAAAAAGGGAACCATTACTAAATAATTCTCAAAATGAAAAGCAATTTGATAATTTACCTACAATTAATTTAATATGTCCAGAAAAACCACTATATGGATATGAGGATGCATATCAAATAGATGATTATATAAATGGTAAAATAAATGAAAATATAATTCATGTTTATCCGTCTACATATTTAAGAATTAAACATGTAGAAATAACAGAATATTTACTATTTATTACAATAATGTTATTAGTTATATCAGTTCTTTATGATTTTATTTATTAAAAATTATATTAACATCTTTTTTTTTTTTCTTTTTTTTTCGTTATATATGTAAACTTTTTTAATATTATATAAAAAATAAAAGAGCTATTCTTTTTTGTATTAAATGTGAATAAGTTAATAATATAAATAATAGCGTCTTCTACTTATAAATTTATTATCTTTGAATATATTATCATATTTTTTGTTATTAAAAAAAAAGACTTTTTTTCATTTGATTTTTGTTATTAAAAAAAAAGACTTTTTTCATTTGATTTCTGTTATTAAAAAGTAACAAAAAAAAAAAAAAAAAAAAATAATAAAAAATATAATAATATATTTTAATTTAATATAACTAAAAAAATATATATATAATAAACAATGAATTCAATATTATTATAAAAATTATTTAATAACTAAAAAAATAATTATATAATTCCATATCATGTAACCGAAGTAAATTTCTCATTTCAAAATATGTTTCTATTGATACTGCTTGTTTTCCAATTAAATTTTTTACATTTTTTTTTTGTTTAGTTTCATTGTTTAAATATTTTAAATAAGAAGGAAAAAAAAGAGCTATAAATTTGGGTGTAATAAATGTTTCAGTAAAAGAAATTATATCATTAGCATGTTCACTTATTTTTCTATTTTCATCTACATTTAATTTGAAATGACAAGTTATTTCATGAAATTTATTAAAATAAAGCATTGGATTCATATTTAAGTCACTTTTATTTAAAGACGAAATGTTTTTATCTTCATTTATATCGTTATGTTCCTTTTTAAACTGGCTATTCCAGTATTCTATAATCAACAATATATAACAAGGAAAAAAACTAGAGAATAATTCATGGTTTCCTCTTAAAAAAAAACTATATTTGGATGCAATTATATCAATGTTATTTTTATTTTGATTAATTAATTTTTTAATTGCAATCATAATATATCTGTCATACAGTTCTTTTCTTACTATGCTAAAATGGTGGTAATATTTATTCATGGGATTTGTTTTAAATGTAAAAGGTATTTTGAATGAATCTGGGTTTTGTATTGAATATTGAAGTTTTTTTTTTTTAATTACGTCTAACGTATATTTCTCTTCTGAATTAGGAGGGAATGAAGGATTTCCAATTGGAACTCTAGGATTTCTGTTACATGAAAAATAATATCTATATGTTAATCTAAAATGATCATTTATAAATCTTATAATATCACCATTTAAATTATCATATGATTTCCTCATTAAAAGATTTGAGCAATCAGCTCCATGAAAAGAAAAATCAATAATACTCAAATTTGAAATTAATCTTGCAATATCAGATAAACTATTATAGAAAAATAAATAATTTTCTTTTAATAATGATAAAATTTGAAATTTCTCAGATATATTCATAATATCAGCTTTATTATCTAATTCTTCAAATATGTTCATATAAACACTATTTTTTTTATTTATGCTATCAGATACGTTATTATCATTCTTTAATTCTTTTTTATTAATAATTAAAGGATTTGAATTTTTTGTTTTATTTTTCATTTCTAAAACATTATCCATTGTATTATTGATTTTATATATTTCTTCATTATCCATCAAGCTTATAGATGTGTGTATATTTTTATTTGTAATATCTTCAGTATATTTATCTTCATTTTTATTTTTAAATGGACTACTTAAATGAAAATCGTATTTTAAACAATTTGATGATTGTATATCTCTTTCTGAAATTATTTCTGTACAAATGTTACGATATAATACTTTTTTAACAAAACCAAATATATCATTTTGGCATATAGTAGAAACATTATTTATTTCTTCAAAAGACATTTTATGTAGATCTGGAATTCTATTTAAAAAATCCAAAGCATTAAAACAAGACCTTATATCTCCATTGCAGTTATGTGCATAATGTTTTATAATTTCTTTTGTTTCTTTATTTGAATTTATCATTTTACAATAATATCTTTCAGTTAATATTTTTTCAAGATACAGTGGATGTATTTTTTTCAGTTTTATAAAATGAACATACGGAGAGTAATTAATATCAACTCCTAGTAATGTATTAACTGTTTTTATTTGTTCATATGAATTTATAAAAATTATTATGGGGTGAATTGTATAACATTCTAAATATTTTGAGAAATTTTTTTCTTTCGAATATTTCAAATGTTCCTGTTTACAAAAATCTACACGATTAAATACAAATTGCATAGAAGATACACAACTATCTCTAAATTCTTCTGAATATTCTAGTTCCGTAACTGGTAACTCATCAATAATAATAGCACGAGTTACTATATAATTTTTTTCATAATATAACTTCTTTTTTTCTTCTTCTCTCTTTTTTTTAAAATCTATATTCATTATATTTTTATATAAGCTATTATCCGTAACTAAGCAATCCATCTTTTCTATTGAATTATTACCTGTTAAGGAATCAATTACTTTATCTCTTAAATTAATAACTTCAATAAAATTATTAAGCAAGTTCATCTTTAATGAATTATTTTCATTCAGATAGGAAATTATATTTTCAAACACATTATTAGACTTATTTAAATTGTTTATTATTTTTTTATTTAATTTGTATATTTCATATAAGAAATTTTTCAACTTTTTAAATAATTTATCAGGTACATTTAACTCATCATCTGATTCTTCTTTTGTATTATTTACTTTAATTGAATCGTTTATATGGTCATATGAATTTTCATTGTAAAATGAGTCATTTGTTTTACTATCTAAGTTATCATTTTCAACAAAAAAGTTAATTTCTTTATATAAATTATTAGTTACATTAAAATTATCTTTAAAATTTTTAATAGAATTATTGTTTTTTATTGAATTTTTTTTTTTTATTATAGGAATATTATCTATATTTAAATTTTCATCTATTCTCCCATTTGAATTACTTGCTACAATAAAATCATTAATCATTTCTTCCTTTAAATAATTAATAACTATGAAGTTAATAATAAATATATCTTTTAAATAATTACTTAAAAATATATTATCAATTATAAGTTCTTTTACAGTATTACTGATATTAAAATCATTTATTATATATTCGTTAAAATTATTAGCCACAATTAAATCAATTAATTTTCCTTTGTAATTTTCATTTATGATGGAATTTCTTATTTTTTTATTTATGGAATTACTTAAAATAATATTATGAAGTCTTTCATTATTTTCTTTACTTTCTCTATATTTCATATCATTCATTCTCTCATTTAATTTGCAATCAATAGCTATACATTCACTTGCTTTTTGCTTTAAATTTTTAGTTATAATTAATTCTTTTATTATTTCCTTTGACTTGTTAGATTCAATAAAATATTTAATTTCTCTATTTAATTTATTTGATATATGATCATTATTATCCTTTTCATCGGAATTATTCATAATAATATAATTATATATTTCTTTTAGTCTAAAATTATTTTTTTTTTGTTTCTTCAAATAATCGTTAGAGATTAATAAATCTTCAATTTTTTTCTTTAAATTTTTTGTTTCAATTAAATAATTTAATTCCTCTTTCAAAGTATTAGCTAAAATTAAATCTTCATTGATTTCTTCTTTCAAATTATTATATAAATTTAAATTATCAATTATTTTTTTGTTTAAATGGTTTGATTCGTTAAAATCCGTATTTATTTCTTCATTTAAATTATTTAACTCATTTAAATCATTAATTATATGTTCACTGTAATTATTATCAGCAAATAAATCAATAATTCTTTTTTTCTTTATTTTATCCACTTCAGTAGAATATTCTATAATTTGTTCTTTCAATTTTTGAGATAAAACTAAAATATTACTTATTTTTTTCATTATTTTATTAGCTACAATAGAGTTCTTGTTTATTATTTTATTAAAATTATTAGATGCAAATATGCCATAGTTTTCCTTTTCTTTTAATAGATTTGCTTCAATTAAATTTTGTAATATATTTATAAATAAATCGTGTATTTTAAAAAAACCATTTGCTATTCTATTATTAATATTATTCGTTTCAATTGAATCTTCTATTATTTTTTTTTTTAGATTATTAATCAAAAAAGAGTCATTTATTTTTTTATTTCTATTATTATTTTCTGATGAAATCTTCAATATTTTATTTGAGTAAAAGATATCTTTTTCATCATGTCTTCTTTTTATTTGATTGGAAGTTTCAGTTAATACAAAGTTATCAATTTTTTTTCTCTCTAGTTCTTTTTTTTTTTCTAATAATATTTTTGGTTTTTCGGTACTCCCTATTTGGCAATTAGAATATAATATGAAATTATTGTAAGGATGATAATAATGGCTATTTTCTTCTTCTTCATTGATATTCCTTATATAATTAATATGTTCTTGTGATTCAGATTCGTAGTAACATTCTCTCATATTTAATTTATCACATAAATATTTTATTAATGTTGTTTTTCCGCTTCCTGGAGTACCTAATATAATACATATATTTTTCAAATTTAACACATCTTCTTCTTGCCAATTTCTACAATATTTTTCTAATTCTTTACTTAAAATTGGATCATTATTAAATTTTATTAAATTTATAAAAAATTTTAATATGCTCAATTTATCCTTTGGATTTATTAATATTTCATCAAAATTTTTCGGCATATAATTATTCATTTTATCACATCATTTTTAAAAAGAGAATTATTACAAAAAAGAAAAAAAAAAAAAGTCTCTTCTAAAAACATTGAGTCTAGATCGTTAAATACGTTTTAAAAAAAAAAAAAAAAAAAAAAAAAAAAAGAAAAAAGAAAAGCATGCATTATATATGTACATCACATTATTACTATTTTCTTCTATAAATACATAAATTTTTTTTATTTTTAAAATGGAATAATATCTATAATATTTTTCATCTTTTCAATATTAAAATAAGAAAACTTTAAATTTATTCTTTTTTATTCTTTTAAAATTATTCATTTTAATATTTATTTATTTATTTATTTTTTTTTTTTATTATTGGTAACATATAAAAAAAATTAATTTATTTATTATAAACGTTATTCATTATATTTTTTTACGTTATTTTATTTCTTTTAAAAATATATATAAGTTTTTTGAAAAACATTTTTTTAAAAAGCATTAAGAGATAAAATAATTTTTTTAAACAAAATAGCTTTTATTTTATTTAAAAAAATATATATATAAATATATATATAAATATATATATATATTTTTTAGTAATAGAAAGTATTTCTATTAAAGAAAAAAATTTTTATTTTGTATTTTTAGAAGAAAAATGAATGATAATATTAGTAAAGTAAATAGTACAATTGTAGAATTATTAGGTATGTCTGATCTATTTAAACGAATGCAAAATGTTTGTTGGGGAAAGTGTATACCAGATGTAAATGATCCTTTTTTATCAGTTGGTGAAACAAGCTGTGTTGATAGATGTGTTCATAAGTATATGGAAATTCATACATTAGTAGGAAAAAATTTACAAGAATCTCAAATTACAAAATAGAATAATAATAAGAAGAAAAAAAAAAATAAAAAAGAAGTAATATATTTTTTTTTTTTTTTTTATCTTAGATATAAATAATAAGCTTTATTATATATTTAGTATTCGTTTCTATCTTTTAATTTTATATTTCAAAGTCCTTTTATTTTTTTCTTAAAAATATTTACGATGTTATTTTTTAAAAATTATAAAATTTTTTTTTTCACGAAATTATTATTTATTTGTATTCTCTTTAACTTTTTACTTTTTTAATATAATCTATTAATATGCCTCCTAATTTACTAAAGTAATATTTTGTTATTTTTATAAAATTTATAGAAGTTTTTAACTTCATTTTTTTTTTTTGTTACTTTTGAAAAAACAAAAATAGAAAAAATCTGTCTATTATATTTATAAAAAAAAAATTATAATAATTTCAATACTATTATAAAAAAAAAAATGTTTTTTAATTTTTAAAATGTGAATGTGAATAGAAAGTTTTATTTAAAAGAAAAATATGAAAGTAAGCATAAATATATTTTTCTTTAGTATTTTTTTCAAATAAATTAAAAAAATGTATATATAAAATAATTATATATTTTTTTTTTTTTGAAAATATTATTTTTTATATCATAAATATAACATTTTATATAAAAGTATTATTAAGTTAAAATTTTTTTTTCTACATTAATATATATTTTATATTAATTGAAATTTTTTTTTTTTTTTTTTTTTTTTAACATGTTTTTAGTTATTTTTTTTTAATATGCATTTTTACTTTTTTTCTTATTTTATTTTTTTCTTTTAATAAAAAGTGAATAAATTTACAAAATTAAATTATTGATATGTTGATAAAATTCTTAAATTTTTTCATAAAGAAAAATAATTATTTTCAATTAAAAAATTACACTTTCAAATTTGAAAACAAAAGAAATTATGATTCACGACTTTTCAGAAAAAGCGTTAGGAAATTACTTTATTTTTTTTATAAAGAAGTTCATCCAGATTTAACCAGCAATTTACCTGATGATTTGAAAAAAGTAAATAATGAATCATTAAGTGTTTTAAATTCATATATTGATATTTTAAGTTCATCAAAAAAAAATGAGAATAACATATTTTTAGAAAAAAGTTTAGTATTTTTTAAGGTTTTTGAGAATTCTGAAAATAAAATAATTAAAGGAAGATATAAAAATATTATAATTAAATTGCCAACAATATCGAATAATTTATCTTTTGATGAAAAAGAAAAAATTACTGCAAAATTAATTTATGATATTAAAAATTCTTTAGAAAAAACAAAAAGAAAAAACATCTTTAATGATGATATTGAAGAAATTGAAATTACTGACAACATTCTTAGTACAAAAGAAACTAAAAAAAGAGGTGATATTAATAATATTTGGGAAGATTTAACAAATCATGTAAAAGATACCGAAGCATTATATCAACCGTGTGAAGAAGAGATAGAATTAAAAAAAAAAAAAAAGAGTTATTTTTATTATATAAAAAAAAAATTGGAATTAAAATTTCAGAAAATAAATCATAAAAAAAGAAGAAAAAAAAAATTACAAAAAATTAATGAAATTGCGAGTAAAATAGTTCAAGAAAAATTTCCCTATAATAATAAAAACAATTATGATCAGATACTAATCAATCAAAGTTATCAAATTATTCAAAATGGATTTAATCCCAATTTAATCTTTTTCCACAAAGATATAAATGAAAAAGAAAAAAGAATAGGAATAGAAAATTTATGTGGAATGCATTTAAAAGATGATGCAGATAAATGGTTATTAGAAAATTGTCTTAAATTATTGAAAAATCATAAAACACCTATTCCATTAGTTGTCTACTCTGAAAAAAAAATTCAATTATCATTAACATATGGATTCATATATGTAATTAATACTTCTTCTATATCATTATTTATATATATATATATTATTTTTATTTCAATATATATATATATATATATATATATACATTTTTCTCTTTATAGATTCCTTATGAATTTTGTTTAAATGATTTATTTACGTTCTTAGAAGATAATATTGATAAAGCAAGGAATATTAGAAAAAAGGTTATAAAAATAAAATTTAAATAAATTAATAGAAAATAAAAATAAATAAAAACTAAAATAAAAGAATAACCAATTATTTTATAGTTAATATTATTATATATTATTATATATTATTTTTTTTTCATTAGGTATTAGAAAGCTTTGAATTATGAATCTAAAAAAAAAAAAAAAAAAAAAAAAAAAAAAGTTACCAAAAAATGAAGTTATAGAAAATTAAAATTATCTATATTTTATTTTTTATATAAAGAAAAAACGAGTAAAAAATAAGTTTAAATTGTATTTAATCAGAATTTTAATAATTATTTTTGCATTTATTTAATTTTATAAATATTTATATATATTTCATAAAGTTTAAAACAAATAAACAAAACATAAATTATGTAGTTAAATACGAAAATGAACAGAAAAAAAAAAAAAAAAGGGATTTTATTTATATATATATCCTGGTATAAAAAGGTGAAAAAAAGTTTTATTTAGAATATATATGGAACAAACTAAAAAAAGCATTTAATAAATTTAAAATATAAAAAAAGAAAAAAAAAAAAAAAAAAAAAAAAATTTTAAACGAAATAACATATTAATAAGATTATATCCATATTAAAATATACGTATTTTATTTTGTTTTAATAGTTAATATAGTATTAGCTTGAACTTTATTTTGATCATCTTCATTTGATATTTTGTAAACATTTTTAATAGCATCTCTACAAAAAGGACAGTGAGGTAAGGAATCTTTTGATTTAAGAGAATTTATTATCATTGATCTTATACATGTTTCACAAAATCCTCCATGCATACATGGATATAAAACAACATTTTTACATCGTTCATCGCAAATTTCACAAAATTCTAACATAGAAGAATTTGTATCATTTAATTTGTTGCTGTTGCAAGTGTTGATATTATTACTCATAGACTTTTTAAAATCTTCCTTTTTATTTAAATAATTGTTATTAAAGATATTTTTTAAGTTAAAGATCTTTCTTTTTCTATTCCACCATTTTCTATCATCCAATTTATAAGAGTTAGAATTATCTTTATTTTTATCGTTACTTTTACATGTGTTATCGGATTTAATTTCACGATATATGTGCTCATTTATACGAATTAACGTAGTTACATTTACACTTTTTTGTTTATTTTCAATCATATAAAATTTCTTTTTATGGGGTCTAATTGATTCATGAGGTTGGGAGCTTATGACTTGAGCTTGTTGTACATATGAATCATTTAAAATATCAATTAATAAAACAACAATTGTTACAATTATAGTAATAATTGTAGATTTATGTATATTTAATAAAATGAAAACACACGCAAATAAAATATTTGCCCCAAATAAAAATTCATGAAAGAATTTAAAGAAAAAATAAATAGAAGAAAAATAATTATTACGTGTTTCACTGTATTTCCTAAGAATTTTATGAAATAAAAATGATAAATAACAAAATACTGAAATAACCCATATAAAATATTGAAAATGATAATTAAAAAGGGGATCAACATCATGCAACCACCAAATAATGCAATCATCACCTAATACTATTTCTAGAATTAATATAGTACAAACAGACCAGATATATTTAGCTAAATACTTCCTTTTACATGACAGTGACATTTTATAATTTCTATAACAAGTAAGAAAAATGAATTCGTAAAGAATTCTTGACAAAATTAATGTAATACGAATAAAAAAGAAAAATAAAGTTATAATCAAAAATAATTTACTAATTTTTAGATATTTTTTTGAAAGAACAAATAAAAATATATTATTATCGTTATTTTTAAGATTTTTTGTGGTTATATCGTTACAACGAATAAAAACAGATTCTTTTACTCTATAAACTATAATATCTTTTTTTTGTAATTCTTCAAAAGCTCTTATCGTATTTTCGTATAATTTTTCAGTATTTTCATGATCTGTTTTATAGTAATCCATTAAATTATTACAAGTCACTTTTAATTTTTTTAGTAATACACACATGCTATTATATAACATAAAATTGCCATTATTTATTTCTTCTTTAATTATATCATTTGTAATCATTAAATTATTTATCTCTTTTTCATTAAATTGAAATAAAAAATTAGTTAAAAACGTATTATTATAATTAGATTCTACTAATATTAATTTACTATCAATTTTTAATTTTAAAATATTATTATATAATAAAGAAAATTCGATGCTAAAAAGAATAAAAAGTATAAATATAAATAAAGTTGTTCTAATTATTCTATTCATATTGCATTCTTCCAAGTTAGGTTTGATTTCATAACCAAACATTTTACTTAAAAAACGTGGTTCAGGAAAGTGAGGATGCTCTTCGTTATTTTCATTTTCATTAGTATTTCTTAAATTTGTAATTGTTAAAACGTAATAATCTAATTCTTCAGCGTTCGAATAATTTTCATTAGAGTTTCTACTTCTAATAGTATTATTTAATAAAACATTTTCATTATTTGTATTTGTAAAATACTCTCTTTCTATATTAATGCTTGTATTAGACTCATTTGAAATTATATCATTTATATTATTCTCGTTCGAATTAAACATATTCACGTTATTAACAGTTAATATATTTTCACTAACGATATTCTCATTTGTAACATCCTCATGTGTATTATTAATTCTTAAGTTATTTTCTTCTTCTAAATTATCTTCTAAGAAAAATGATTTATCAGAAACAGTGTGTAATGCTTCATTTTTTTCATGATTTATTTCGCATTTATCTGTTTTTGAGCTGTTTGATATATTCGTTATTCCTTGATTCAAATTATCAAATTCTTTATTTTCTTCTCTTTCATTCTTTCCAATACTTTTTAAAGGTAAGGAATATCCTTCACCCAAAATATTATTTACAGAATTATTATTCATACATTGGTTGTCACTGTATGTGAATATATTATTATTATTATTACTATTACTATTACTATTACTATTATTATTATTATTATTATTATTATTACTATTATTATTATTATTATTAAAATTATTGTTCTCATTTAATTCAATATTCATACTTTTATTTTTTAAATCATTATTACTATTATTTAAATTATGGGAGTTTGAAATACTGTTATTATCATTGTCTACATTATTATTCATATTTTGCTTCATTTCATTCACATGTGCACTTATAAACTTATTTTCAGAACTATATACTTCAATCATCTGGAATTTATTTTTCCATTTTGAATTACTTATTTCTATATCTTGTATAAAATTTTTAACTTTATCATTACTAATTCCTCCCTTTTTTTTTATTTCATAAAAAGTTATATTATCATTTACTTTTGAAATGGAACTTTTTAAAATGTTACATGTATGATCATTAAATTCTCTTTTATCTTTTAAAAGAAGAAAATTAGAATTTAATCTTCTACTTTCTTCTTTTCTTCCATCTATATTTTTAAAATTCTTCATTTTGTTTTTATTTGTATGCATATTTATATTAAAATTATTTTTAATATTATTTATATGTTTCTTATTAGTATAATCCCTTTTTTTAACTCTTTTTTGTTTATCTTTCATTTCATTATTTTTAAAATATATATTACTTTTACAATTTAATGTAAAATTTATATCATTTACTTCTTTAAAGTTATTGGTGTTCTCATATTTTCTTTCATTATTTTTATATTTCATAATAGAAATGCGTTTATCAATAAAATAAAAAAAATTATTTTTGTAGTTTTTAAAAATGTTAATACTATTCGAATTAATACAATTAATTTTTTTTTTATTTTTTATTTTTTTTTTTTTTTTTTTACATTAAAAAAAAATAGACAAGAAAAACATATAATTTAATATGTATATTTTTTTCTTACGTATAAATATAATAGTCTATTTAGGAAGCAAATTAAAATAACAAAATTAAACAACACAAAGATCAAAATTAATTAAAATTAAAATATTCATTACATTATATAAAGAAAATTATTAAACAAATTTGTAATATTTAATTGTTAATATTAACAAAAAAAAAAAAAACAATAAATAACATTTTTTTAAAATTAAATAGAGAAACAAAAAGACATATTTAATCATAAAACGTTAAGCTCTTTTTTTTTTTTTTTTTTCTTAAAATTAATAGGTATGATTAAAATATTTCAAATCACATTAAAAGATTCAATATAAATAGAAGTTTATGTTTTCTGTATTATTTTATACAGTTTTTTTTTTTTTTTTTATTAATTTAGAATATTTAATTATTTATATTTAATGATAGTGTGTATTTATATGTGTAAACATATTTTTACAGGATTAAAAAAAAAAATGTTAATAAAAAAAATATGTACTATAAATAACTTAAAAATATTTTTAGTTATATGAATAATTATTATATCTTTTTTTTTTTTTTTTTTTTTTTTTTTTTTAAAAAAA